TCGTTATCCTTACAATTCAAAGGTGCCTATTGAAATTCCGCGGGATTATACTGCGTCGGATCTTGACGAGGAACATCGCGTAGCTTACTGGAGGGAAGATATTGGGATTAATCTTCATCACTGGCACTGGCATCTGGTCTATCCATTTGAGACCGACATCAGGATTGTTAACAAGGATCGGCGTGGCGAGCTATTCTACTATATGCATCATCAGATCCAAGCCAGGTAAGTGCGCCAGCGAGCGCACGTAAGTCGATATAAGATTGGATACTCTATTCTACCGTGCCTAGATCATGCGGGTGTTATAGGCGACCGAGATCACGGTTCGATCTCGATCGTTATTATCACGCGAGAACTCATCTCAATTCTGCATAGTATTCGAGCAATGTTTGCTAACGAGCTCGGAAATGCATTTGCGCGTAGAATAACGAAGCAAAATTATTCAGCGATGAATTTTGGAAATAAATGTAAATGTAAATGCCTGTTGAAGCACTTATGAAAGTACACTGGTAAAATGGGAGCGATGCGAATTAAGAGATATTACGAGGAGCTATTTTTAAACGAGCAAGAAATGTTTCTAAAATCTGTAATCTGCAATAATAGTATCTACGTTCTAACTATTATTATTCCAATTAATAAAATTATTATTATTCTAATTATATTAATTATTTAAAAGTTATACGTTGATCAACAAATGTCTATTTTCCGTAACGTCTTTCCTACTATCTAGTATACGAGTCTACGTCATTTATGTCGAAATACCGAACATCTGAATCGCCTGGGGTGTTACCGATGGGAATTTCCACGGTCTCTGTGTTATTATTCGGATTCCTCTTGATTCCGCTTTTCGCAGATATAATGCCGAGCGTCTGAGCAACCGATTGGGCCGAGTGAAGCGTTTCCACAATTGGCGCGAACCAATCCCGGAGGGTTACTTTCCTAAGTTGGATTCGTTGGTGGCCAGTCGAACTTGGCCCGCTCGCCCCGCGGGCGCCATTCTTAAAGATATCAACCGTCCTGTGGATCAATTGAACTTCGACCTTCAAGACCTAGAGAGGTGGCGTGATCGCATATATGAAGCCATTCACACCGGCGCTTACATCAGCCCCCGCGGCGAGAGGGTGCCTTTGACCGAGTTCGGCGGCGTAGATGTGCTTGGTAACATCATGGAGGCAAGCATCCTTTCGCCCAACCAAAATGTATACGGGGATCTTCACAATCTCGGTCACGTCGCCATCTCTTACTGCCACGATCCAGATCATCGCTACTTGGTAATAGAATATGCAATTGTTGTTATTAGTTGCAAAAAGATGAAATAAAAATTACGTGAATTTTTATTAAAATTTGATTTTATAATGTTAACAATTTTTAATTTTTTACATTAAATAACCCTTTCTTTGAGCAAGCGCGTTAAAGCAATCATTATTTTCTTTTTCAGTTTTTAATATAAAGTGTTTTTGATCGAAAAAAAACGCGTAATTTCTGAGCACGCCTTTATTTTTCACTTGAAAAATTTCATGCGAATAATCATGCTACATTGACATGATAAACGGAACGTTTTCTTTTTTCGTGTTCCGGTCCACAGGAAACTTTCAGTATCATGGGAGAACCGGCCACCGCTATGAGAGATCCCATCTTCTACAGATTCCATGCTTTCACTGACGATGTATTCCTAGAGCACAAGAATACACTTCCCGAGTACAGCCTACAGCAGGTGGGTGTACACAGCTGTCTCGCTTACGCGATATATCATCGGTTCACTCTGGTATATAATGTCGCTAAGTACGCGTACCATGTGGTCCAGAATTACACGCAGCCACTTGACGATAAAAACGCCCGTTAAACCATTTAACTCGACGAGACTACTGGACATGTTAAATTTATCAATCTTTTTGCCCACATGCCGTGCAATCTCGTTAAATACTAACTCGACAAATGAGGCTTTAATTTTCTTCCATATTCGTGAATAACATACAAGGTATCATCGAGCTTTTTCATCGCAATCTCTTCGAGGAAATCTTTGAAATTCGACATTTTATAAATACAAATTTAATCGACGTAATTATCATATTTTAATCAAATCTCACCAACACAATCTTGTAGATTTCAACATTGAATTTAAACAGTTTGGTAATTAAACGGCCGTTTAAATGTCCGAATAAAGCTCTTGAAATTCGAGAATCAGTTTCACCACTTTTTTACATTCTTAATTTTTTTCATTCTAAATTATTCTCATTTTTAAAGCGTCTTTTAATTAAGCTCCGGTTTAAATTTTTTAAAAAAAATTTGCCACGGAAATTTATCAGTGTCTGGCTGTAAAGCTGAAAGAGAATGACGGAATTTAATTGCTTTCTTTCGTTCGTTCGTGGGTTTCAGTTGGACTTTCCCGGCGTAGTAATCACAGACATAGCAGTGCAGACTCCGAATCAACCGGCAAATCAGATTTCGACTTTCTGGACCAAGAGCGATGTCGATCTATCACGCGGTCTGGACTTTACGCCTCGCGGTGCCGTTCTCGCAAGATTCACCCATCTGAATCATACAGACTTCACATATAGAATCGTCGCCAACAATCGTAATAATGCACCGCGACGAGGAACTGTTCGTATATTCATCGCACCCAAGCAAGACGAACGTGGATTGCCTTTTGTCTTTAGAGACCAGAAGGAGCTCATGATTGAGATGGACAAGTTCACTGTATTACGTAAGTCGCCTATTGTACAAATTTCATTGTTATCGCGTTTTTCTTTTATTTTTAAATTTAATGCCAGCCTATATCTAGAATATCTCTTTTGTTACATTACCTCCAACAATTATAATATTAACTCTAATAATATTTTGAATAGGGATGCACCGGATCGTAAAATTACCAGATACCGGATATCGGATATCCGGGCAGAATGTAACATCCGATATCCGATCGGATATCCGAAAAAGCAACTCCTTCGAGTCGGATATCCGACATTTTCTGAATATCCGACTGGATTCCGAGAAAATGCCTTCTAAAAAAAAGCTCCCTATAGGGAAAAAGATTGTAATTTTGCGACAGTATATAAGAATATAGCATCATAAATATACATACTTATTTCTAGAACATTTGTATAAGAAAAAATCAACAATTCAATGATATTAAATTTCAACCGGATACTTTCCCAGATAATAGTGGTATCCGGTCGAATAGTAAGAAAGTGTCGGATAATACCGGATATCCGGTGTATCCCTAATTTTGAACATTACAGTTTATTTTTTAATAAGAATCTTATTTTAGACCGTATATATGTGAGAACACAACTAATAAAACCAGAAATTAAATACCTATAACAGTCAAAGCTGGATCTTTAATGCTTACATAATTCAATGTGAATTATATATGTACATGTTTATATACCATATTTGTAGTCATTCGAACTGCGCGCCGAATTCGTTTTCCGAACTTATAAACGGAATTAAACTACTCTAAGATTACAAATTAAATTAAATTAAATTGGCAAGCAATTTTTAATAATTTGATGTTTAATGAAGCATCATATTAAAAATATGTTAATGTGCTGAAAAATTGTAAATAAATTTATTGCGAAAAATATTACCTCGGCCCGGATCTCTTGCTTTCCATACGAGCGAATCTACGATGCCTGATTGAGCATCAAATTATTAAAAATTGCTTGTCAATTTAATTTAATTTAATTTGTGATATTATTAGTAGTTTAATTACGTTTATAAATCCGGAAAACTAATTCAGCGCGCAGTTCGAATGACTGTAATATGGTATATAAGCATGTACATATATAGTACATATATAATTCACATTGAATTATTTAAGCATTAAAGATCCAGTTTTGAACGTTATAGGCATTTAATTTCTAGTTCTTATTTTTTAATGTAATGATTGGAAAAAATAAAGAAAAAACGTATTAATTTCTATCACTAATTCAATTTTACACTTATACATAATTCTCGAAATATAAATATATTTTTCTATTTTAAACGAAATCGAGTAAAAGTAAAAAAATAAGCGTTTTACGTTATTTATGTTGTATTTCATGAAATTTTCGTTCGCACCCTCCCCTAGTGAGACCGGGATCAAATACCATCGAGCGTAAATCAACGGAATCTTCGGTAACTATACCGTTCGAAAGGACGTTCCGCAATCTCGACGAGAGCAGACCAATCAGCGGCGATAACCTGGAACAGTTCAACTTCTGCGGGTGCGGCTGGCCACAGCACATGCTGGTACCTAAGGGCAAGGAGGAGGGATTCCCGATGGACCTCTTCATCATGATATCCGATTACACCGGTGACGCGGTGAGTACTTTTTATACTTATCGAGCTCTCGCGGCGCTTAAGAGCTTACAATCTGCCAGGTGATGGAAATCTTCCACCCATCCCTCGCACCTCTCTCTCCCCCTCCTCCCTTTCTTTTTTCCATTCTTTTAACGACGACGTTCCAATACACGAGAAGACGTTCGTACCACTCTGCTTTCGGAGCAAAAAAAAGGAAAAAAAGGAGGGGCGGGAGGGAGAGAGAAAGAAGAAAGAAAAGAAAAAGAGAACAACCCGCTAAAGGGGGAATTGCTTTGCCGTCCTACGGCGATATGTACAGGTGGAACAGGACGAACCGACTGGATGCAAGGACGCGGCGAGTTTCTGCGGCTTACGGGACCGCAAGTATCCTGATGCGCGACCCATGGGCTTTCCATTCGATCGTAGAGCCCGTGCTGGCGTGGAAACCCTGGCCCAATTCTTGACCGGCAATATGGCAGTCGCGCAGATCTCCATCCGCCACACGGATACTGTATTGCCGCAAATGCGATCCGGAAGTATGGGCAACACTCTCACCTTCGCCTGATTCGATGATTGATCGACCAACCGAACGCGACAGATCGCTCTCGCGCACCTCCGCCGAGAATTCCAACGTTTCCGTTCCTACCACGCATTCTTAGTAGCAATCCTGCAATATCCGTCGTAGAATCGCGACTGATTGCGTGGAAACGCGACACGTTTCTCATCCCAGTCCATATCCTAGGATGGCGAACGCTGGGAATGACGGGACGGGAGTTGATAAAAAGCTGGAGGTGAGCGAGACGCTATTTCTATATCTCAATGACGGAGGATTATCCAAGGGACGAGAGAGATTTTCTGTGCGTAGGAATGCACAATCTTGTGCGTTTTAATCACTAAAATTCCCACATGATACTGCGAAATCGATTCCTACTGTTGACTTGGTGGCCAAATTTTACCGGAATTGCGGTTATCTCGTAAAACCTATATCTTCTTTAATCTTAAGATACTTTACAAATATTTTCATATGTTCAAATATTTTCTTTCTTAATCGTTAATTTCAATACAGCCGCCAATATGAATCTATAATCGAGTTATTTAAATAAATTAGATAAGAGAATTGATATATTATTATTATTTTCATTTTAATATTACAAATGTTTTATTATGAAAAAAACTTGCAAACAGTGTTTGAATATTTCCTTGAACAATCTTGTAGAAGCTGTTTTATTTACGATGTCATAACTTGCGCATCCATGAGCAATGAGTACCGCTTAACAAATGTATTTTTGCGTAAAAACGGGAACAAAGACGTGTCCCGAACGCTCAAGCGAAGCTTTTCTTCTTTCTCTCGTTTCACCCGCATTACGGGAACTAGATTGTAGGAAGCAGCAAATGTAAAAAGCAAAAAAAGATAAAAATAAAGTCTATGCAAATTAGATGCGCTCTTTTTTTCACCCTTTTATCGTATTATGGGTGTTGAAAGCAAGCGACGATGTCTCGAATACACGAGAGAGAGGGAGGAGAGGGGGGGGGGGAAAGAGAGAGAGAGCATTCGTCGGTAAAAAGAGTCTAAATGATTTAATTAATTTTTCAAATATTCTGTCGTACAGAGTTAAATTTTTTCCATTGGTATTAAGTTTTACATAATTAATACAAGTGAGACGTGTCTCTCGTAGCTCCTCATGTAAAGCGTTTATGAAATATTTAACCTGAAATATATTTTTTTAATTACATTTCTATCACAAATCCACCTCGTTGGCATATCAAAATTAATGACGAGTCTAACGAAACGTGTTTGTCGGGAAATAACGAGGCTTGCTCGTCATCTAGTTTATAATTAACATAATTCCATTGAATTACTCAGCATCTCTATCAAAACTGATGTTTTCAACGCATTTGTATTTACATATACATAGATATATGTACATATATACATATTATATATATATATATATATATTTATGTACATATGTGTATGTGTGTATGTGTGTATATCCAAAACGTTACTACGCTTTCCGCACGGGTCCTGTTCTCTCCCCCAAATGCATTTATCACGCGTTTGTTTCTGCTAGTTCGCAGCTAGACGGACGTGGATTTATTCCTGCAAGGGGTAGAAATAGGGATGGGCGGACGAAGATAGATACACGTTTACGACCGTCGCTTAAGCGTCGTCCCTACCTCTAATATCACTCGCGCGGTTATTCAAGGATTCCGTTTCACGCGGGCATACATTCGAACGTTTGATATACTGAGGCACGCCTGGAGGCAGCAATTGAAGGGCTGGAATTATTTGTCACCGCGCTAAGACATGACTAACCGTAACACGATCGCGCGTTACGGAATTCAAGACGGCGATAATGCACATTCCGTGTTTGCCGATTTGTCGAGAGAGATTCAGGTGGACGACGTTATAAAAAGTTATTATTATTAGAAGTACGTTGAACGTTAAACATTTTTAAGCTTTAATCCTTTAAGAGCTTTTTAAGATTTTCATAATGCAAATAATTTTTTTATAATCTAAACACAATAAAAATTGAGAGATCTTATTATTTTTTCTAGTATACGTATAATGTATAATTTGACAAGCAAATTACATTAGGGTAGATAATTTCTAAGCTTCTCTTTATACTTGCATCTTTCGACGAGCAAGAGAGTAGAGTTTATTTTCGGTTATTTTGTTACGTGTTGAATGTATTTTAAAGGACTATTATCGTTTTGTCCAACTGTTATTTTTAAATTTTCCAGTGTGATGTATGCATACATGTTCAAAGGTGGGAAAGGAAGTTAGAGAAAATGGGTAACAGCAAAACGGTTGCGGTAATGAAGTCGCGTTGTAGACCGAAAGGATGGAGCAATGAAAGAGAACATTGCAGACATTTTGGTTTAAAAAATAAATCAAGTTAGGTCACTTTTTATAAAACATTTAACGTAACGTTCTTTTTTTCGTATATATGTATGAACATGCGAGCTATTACAGAATTAAACTAACAGTAGGGAATATGGAATAGGATTTTTTAAATTAACATTGCTCCGATATAAATGCATATGAAGAGAAATACGTTAGCTACAACATCCAATAAATGAAAGTCGCAAAAATTTAAGTCCAACGTCAATATTAACAAAAAAGTAAAAAATATGAAAATAGGGGAATCTAAAAAATGGGATGTAATATGGAATACCTGTGAAATGTAGATAATAGTAACAAATAACACAATAAATGAAGTCCAAATTTGTTTATTTATGTAAACCAATTAAGAAAAATAGATAAAAACAGTTTACATTTTTATCGTACTATAACATAGAAAATATAATAGTATCACGTAAGCTGGCAAATAAGCTAGTAATATGAAATATAACTTATAATGGATTGGTAATGTGTGGAATACATCCTATAATTTAACTTATCTGATCACGAATAAATTGCTAATATGAAACCTATTCCATATTCTCAACTCTCGGTGTATTCCACATTACCTGCATGTCGTCATATAACAAACAAAGTCTTTCCGTAGCAATAAACAAATTAGAAATCACAATTTATCTGCATAATATTGTTCATGCAATATTATTAAAAGCGTCTATGTAATATAAGCATTAACAAACTTACCTTCAGTTTGTGAGAACACTTTTTAGAAAAAGCTGTCGAATCTCCTGACGCAACGAAAATAAATAAATATTTATTGTGATGAAACGTTGTGTCGAACTGAGCTTATTGCTTGTTATGACACTTGTTTGGTAGCAATTGCAACTTTCACCGAAAAGCCGCTAGATTGCAATGCTTCGTTTAGAAAATAAGCCATTATTCCATATATTAACAGCCTATTTCACATCCCCTGCTTTTACTCTACTTAATTTGTCGGAATTTTTGCTTTTTCTTTTGTTTAACTAACGCAAGTAATATAAATACACAAGTAAGGGTCTGAACACAAGAATTGTAATACAGACGTAAGTAACGCACAAGTTTTGGCGTATGACGTACAACTTATTGCCGTCTCTTGGAGACATGGCAATAAGTTGTACATCATACGTGAAAGCTTGTGCGTTACTTATGTCTACAACTTAAGTCTAAGTAAGTGTTACGACAATTCTTGTGCTCAGACCCTAAGTGTTTAAAGTGTCAAATAAATAATCATGGAGCAAAAATTCGTTTAAGTATACTCGGAGCAAAAAATTTTTAATTATCTTATACACATATACATGTACATACAGAATTTCGAAATAAGATATTCTGGATAGAAACTATCAAAATGGATTTCATGAGAAAAGTCATACAAGTGAACAGATGTTCACTTGAATGTACATTTGCATTTCCTAGTAAATTTCTCTTCAACTATGTAAATTGCTACGGAATTTATTTGCGTTTGTTAAAGTAAATTGAAGTAAGAAACATACAATTTAGTGTGCGATTGATTACACAGTTGACAATGAATTCTAGATGTCGTTCCATATGTGTGTGTGTATGTGTGTGCTACGTGCAATCGTTAGGATAAATTATCTTCTTGGTTAAAAGCACAGCCCTTACCCTGAATGTTCATTTCCTTTCAAGATTTCACTAGATGAGACGTTTCGTTTATGACGTATATAAAGCTAGAGTGCGAGAGTCTATGAAATGGACGTAGCCCTGCTAAGTATACGTCTCATTTTGCAATGGAGATGAAGAGCATATCTCGTCGTTTGACTTAAAACATAAAGCTAGTTAATTCACAATTATACAGCAGCTAAGTTATGTATAGAAAAAAGTCAACATTGTGTTGTGAAATTGTCGGAAATAGTAATTTCTATTTTTAATAACTTATTGTTAGTAAAATTATTATTATTACTATAAAAGATAATTTTATAGGGTTGTCACATTTAAGAAATATGTAATTATTTAACAAGAATCTCGCTGCATGATAAACTTTTCTAATGTCTAAAAATAATTACTCGGTTTATTTAGATTTGTACTTTAGGAAGGTTTGAACTTAATTTCCGACGTTGTATTCTGGCCACCTAATTTCCTGATATCGATCGCTATGCGCCATGGCTCTAAAGAGAGACAGGAAGGACAGCCAAAAGTGATCACGTTATACGTTTCGCTATTCCGGCGAGCATGAAGCTGCTTTCTACCCTGTCACGAATGCATCTTAATTTGGAGTAATTAGCAAGGCATGTTGTGTGTACGCGTACAATTTGTAGCCGCGTGTTTGTTAATGGTGAGTTAATCGGCCATTAAGCCTTATCATATTTGAGGGATTACTCCGGCAAATAACAATATTTTAATGCCAATTGCTTGTTTATTGAAATAATATTAGAGACTATTTAGCTTATTGCGCAATTAATAATAATTATTGGTGCAATGTATTACTGATTTTCGTATATATTATGTGCCACTGTCATATTTGCAAGTAATTTTCGTTTTTATACTTAACAGAATAATTCACATTCGCATACACTAGACTGTATTTATTATAGACTATATTTGTTTACTTTTGTAAGTATATACTTTATTTTAATTGAAATTAACAATTAAAATTAAAAAAGGCTCCAAAGATTAAATCAATAAAGGAGTGTAAAGCCAAAGAGAGCCGATACAGTAGTACGTGTATAATAAAAAATAATGTACAGTGAGTGCAAAAAGTATTCGTAAAAGGAAATATTTTCGTAAGAGAAAATATTTTTTAAAAAAACTTTATTTTTACAAAATAAATATTATCAAGCGAGAAATGAGTCATCGAATTGATGTCGAATCGATATAAATACGATAATTTTAATATCAATTTAACGTCGATTCGACGTTTAATTGACAATCATTTCTTATTGAATAATTAACAATTTATTCATAAAGAATAAAATAGATTGTTTCCTAAAATTATATATACTAAAAAGATGTGTATCAATTATACAAAATATATCATCTGAAAAATAAGCAAAAATTAAAAATTATATTGTTTGAATGCTCAAAAAGTATTCATATCAGATGAGAAATTTAGCTTCTAAAATCAGGAATACATGCGAAGCTCGTTTGTTTATGTTAGAACAGAATATATTCATTGTATAAAATTGCTAATTAATGTTTATTTTTTACAAATAAGACTTTTTTTATAAATTTCCTTGTACGAATACTTTTTGCTCTCACTGTATATGTCAATCACCAATTACAGACGTTTCGATCATAGGATTAGGTCATCTTCAGGGTAACAATAAGTCATCGGAATCAAAATTGATGCGTTGTAAAACAATAAGGCTAATGCTGTCATCGTTAGGCTGTTGTCCAAAATTAAAAACTTCATTATCGTCTGTTGTATTTAGCTGGATTTCCAAACAAGAATTTAGTCATTTAAATTGTACTCAGCATAATGATGATCCGTTATAACGTAATGTAATTACATCGCGTTATAACAGATCATTGTTATGCTGAGTACAATTTAAATGACTGAATTCTTATTCTTTTATAAATTATAAATTTGTAAAGTCGATCTTATGTTGGTATTCATTTGTTTCCACGTTTTATAAGATATAAATTTGTATCGTGTCGAGATTACGGTAGTATTTATTTCGTTTAACTTTCATACTTATAAACACTGCGTAATGCGAAACGTAATGCGAAACAATTTTAGTTAAATGACTGAATTTTTGTTTGGGTATCCAGCTAACAATAAGTACAACAGACGATAATGAAGTTTTTAATTTTGGACAACAGCCTAACGATGATTCACTGACAGCAGTAGCCTTATTGTTTTACAGCGCATCAATTTTGATTCCGATGACTTATTGTCACCCTGAAGATGACCTAATCCTATGGTCGAAACGTCTGTAATTGGTGATTGACATATATATTATTTTTGATTACACACGTACAACTGCATCGGCTCTCACTTTGGCTTTACACTCCTTTATTGATTTATTACTTTATTTTTGTTAAACTCGGTTATTTTTCAATTGCGGGAGAAACAAAAGATAGGATCTCCCGTTATGAAATTAAAAACGTACATTAAGGGAAATTGAATATTTTTGATCGTTGCGCTGTGGCAAGAAGCAATCTGATACGACTGAATTATTTATTTATTTTTGTTTGTTAATTTTTACTGTATCATTTAAGAGTTTGTTTGAAGTTTGCTTATTTTCCGTGTAAATATTAAAACCAGTCGTTTTTCTCATATTCCACTTACTTAATTAATAACGTCGCGTCGCTGCCGTTGTTTGCTTGCACAAGCATTCAATACACAATTTCAAGTACATATATAACATGTCGAGCTTGCAGACGAGTACCTGTTAAGTTTCACGATGGAGGAGAGTGAACGTATAAGCAACGGAAACCAGTCCGGAGTACTGCCAAACCCAAACTTCTGCCACGTTCATAAAAGTCACGTCAAGTATGTTAGATACTCGTTGCGGTAATATTTCTTTTAGCATGTGACCACGTTTGCAGCAGTATTAGAAGAAATAATACGAGGGTTTAATACAATTTGAATTAAACGATTTGCGCGAGAAATTTAGACATTATAAATTTAATTATAAATTTCCATTTCCACTTTCGTGATCAACTTTTTTCGTTCTATCCGAACAAGAAAGCTGTTCTAACGTCCCGAAAAAGAAAAGCTATTATTCCGATAAAGACCCGATACATGAATCTATAGATCTCGACCGGTTTTTCACAGTCTCTCGCTTCTTTTGGGAATACGATTTCCCAGTTACATAGCAAGATAAAAATAATATCGTATAAAAATAATATTCGCGCGCGTATCACGATACATTTGTTGTAGCGAAAGAAACGAGACTGTCTCTGTTTATGGGAAACAGGCATGGAGAGGATGAGAATGCAGAAGCATGCTTCAAGCCTTCAAAGGAAGCTTTAGTCTTTAGTCACTTATACCAAGCTCATTAAAATCAGTAATTACGCGCTCACAAACTACCAAAGAATTTCTAAACAGGATTATCGCCCCGTTAATCATACGCTGCTCATCGCTAACTGGATGGGGTAATGACATGCGACGTGATAGCTCGGAGTTTGTATACTTTCCGTAGTACAGCATCTCTGCTTAGGCTCTCCTCATACAGAGTAATTCCCCGATGCTGTATCTATGCACGAAACCTTTCAGCGAATAATATTTGTGGGATCAAATATACGAGGAGTAATAATTATATCTACCATATAATTAAATCCTATGATATCCTTTTGATACAATTAGAGATATATTTTCATACAAAAACAGATCAATATTGATATATCTTTAAATTAAATGAATAATGAAATAAGATCACAATAAAACAAATATCTCACAACAAATATATGACGCAAGTGATCTACGAATTTTGATTGCAAAATATAATATTATTGTCGCCCGAGTTTACGTGGACGCTATTTCCGCATTTGTCATTTTGCAATATTATTTGAAATGCAATTCACTTAACGCTATAAAATAAATGTTTTGAAGTATTTGATCAACCAATTATACACGGAGAAAATTTTATATTTAAAATTACTATAATGTGATAGTAGCTGCGGTCTTCATGTAAATTATAAGTTTAAATGCTACAGTTATTTTTTTAAAGACAATAATATAACGTAATTTTTACACTTTTTCATAGTAAAAATTTTTTATTACAAAATCAAATATACCTAGCAAATTTTGTTTGCGTACCATAGTAAAAATTAACTGTTTTCATGTTAGAATATGGCTTAATAAAATAATTACTATATTTATGTGATAAAAATTAGTATTACCATAGTAAAAGTTAAGTCGGAATCATGTTGTGAGAGTCCATCGAAAATACAAGACATAGTAAAGCGTAATTTAAAATTGTATTAAAACTTAATATAAAATTTTCTCTGTGTACGGAAGAAAGAATTTTACTAATTGACCAATTGGAGAATACTTCAAAGCACTTGTAGCATCAAGTCAAATAACCTTGATTACATAATCCGTTTACGTTCTTCCCTGTGTTTGCCATAAGTCACACGTAATAATTATACCCTTCTCGCGAGCTTGACGACTCGATCCCAATCTCATTCGGTCGAAAGCGAATAGTCACGTTGGCGCGTTAATCGTTAAAGTTAAACTCCGTTTGAGCATCCGCATAGTTCCCGGAAGCCAATATAACTTAGAGATTTATCACCGGACACACGT